TCAAATATGGTTGCTGTAAAATTAATATAATTTTTCGAATATGAATGTAATAACAATAATAATACCAAAAATTTTTATAACTCATATCTGGAATATTAAATTTTGATTTTGTGAGGCAGCTATACCGATCTGCCCTTTTCTTTGCAGCCATTTGCTACGAATAAAGTTAGTTTTTATATTACTATTTTTTTATTATCATTATTATTATTATTATAATTCTCGTCTTACTATTTTATAACTATTAAATTAATTTACTATGTTATTATTATTACTATCATTTTTGATCATTTTACTTTACTCCATCTATCTATAGTAGTTGACTAATCAACTGAGATACGGTTTTAACTCCTCCACTCTGATGACCTTCGTTAGTTCCTAGACGAAACGCGTCAGTGGGCAGTTTAGTGATGCACTTTTCAAATATATATTTGCAATTCGCAAGGAAATAATAAATTTGAACGGACAAAAACAAAATTCGTATCTATATTTATTTCAATTTATTTATTTTGAATTATTTTATTTTATTTATTCTAATTATTCTAATTTATTTATTTATTTATAAACTTATTGATTTTTTTAATTATTTATTTAATTTATTAATATTATATTTATATTTATATTATACTCAAAGGATTAGTTTATGGGAAGGGAAGGATAAACCACAGAAATTGGTAGGGGTAAGTATTTTATACTCGGTCCTAGTTTTCAGTGGTTAGCCACCTCTGTTGTCCAGATATTGTTAATGGACAATATACTGAGGGAATGGCTTTGACGGCATGATATGGTAATCTGGCCGTAACAGTGACAAAGCAGAAAGAAAAAATAAGTAAAATAATTTTGAAGAATATATCTTTATTTTGTAAGACTTATTCCACATTTTGAACGTCACTATTTCTGAGTCATTTTTTATTTAGAGCAAATCCATTCTGGGCAAATATTTTTTATCCTAACTTAACCTATAAAAGAATACACTTAAAACGTTGGCACTTCTATATTAAATAGATCAAAACCTTTAAGAACGTTCTGGGTTTATCGAGTTAATAGTTCGTGGTGTCTTGTGTCAACATTTTTTTCCAGACTCTTTTTGTAAGCTAGAGTTTCACTATAAATACTTCTAAATACTCTGAATAATTAATTTTGAATATGTAAACAGTATCACTAGTATTAGAAAAATCGTATTTTGGCAGTGCAAATATTATTATACATATATATACAAAATATTTCCCAACTTTTTATTAGACTTTTCATACCACTTTTCAGAGTATTAAATACACCAAGCTTTTTGGGGCACCAAAATAATCATGTCATCCTTTTTTCTTTCATTTCATGACGGAATACTCAAGGTTTATTTAACAAAGCACACTCTGGGTTATATAAAAAATAAATCTCCTTCTCTTTTGTTTCGTAGAGTAAGAAATTAGTTTTCATATATGTATTGATATATGCCTGATAATTTCAATAAGAGTAGAAAGTTTTAAAAAATCCTTCAAAAATACCAGTACAAAATGGTCAAGTGATTTCATAGCTGATGAACTTATACTTACTTACTTAATGCAGTCGTCTTCTTCCAGTAGAGCGTAGATGGACTTATAGTATATATATAGATGAACTTATAGTAATTGCTTATAACATTTTTTTATTATTGAATTTGATAACTGCAGAAAATATTACAAATATATGTATGTATTTATTAAACAATTAAAAATGTATTTAAATATATGTTTATATGCCAATGTATCAAATATATGTAACCAGTACAAGGACTAAATTTAAATTTGTGTTAAAATTGTACATTCTCGTACATATGGCGATTTCTTAATATACTTTCCTCCATAATTTTCTGCTTTGTTTCTTCCCATTTACCCAATCTGTCTACAATTTCGGGCAGTACTTCTTCGACATTCATACGATTGATCTCAGGACCATCACGTAATTCAACTTGAGTTTTGAAGTTATAATTTGGCGTATAACCATTAAGCGAAAGAAAATAATCGAAGTAAAACTCAACAGCAACTTGTTTATCGAGGTTTGTGATGACACTCATTCCAGCATTGGGAACATTTTCAATATCTTCAGTATCATCATGAAAAGCGTGAAACATGAACCTTACTTTATCGGGTATAACTTTCTTTTCTATAATTTTTGGTGGACGCTCTTTCTTCGGTATCGCAAGAATATACTCCTTTTTCTTCTCTGCAGTTGCACAACAAGGCTGCAATAAAAATTTAAGTGATAATTAATACTAATTTAACTGTATGTGACAAAAATTAATTGTGACATAAGGTGCATAAACGAGTATCGATATTGCAGTTAAATAGGATAGTAAATATTTAACAAGACTAGTAACTATTTTTAAAAGAGCTAATGATATTAGTTTTACTACCAAAGTCGTACCCTATGTTTTGGATCCAATGGCTCCATATTCTTGCGCAATACTTTTAGTTCAGCCTCCACACGATACTCAATCTGTTGAGCATTATATGAGATCTTTTTCAATTTGTGTAATTTTTGTCTAAAATAGTTTTCGCAAGCTCGAATTATGTTTGATGGATATGCTTCAAATTTTCCTACACACAAGAAAATTGATTATTATTTCTATTTTATAAATAAATTTAAAAAATTCTTAATTGCTTTCTTAATTCATTAGTAATACAGTTATAATACGTAGTGATTACATCAATTATTTTAATACCTATTAGATCAATAATAACATCTGACATCATTGCAACCATCTGAACTGGTGCAAGTGCTCTTTTTTTGCCACCTCCTTTCTTTTTACTAGCACCTCTGATGCTTAGTGGAACTATATATTCCCAAACTTGTTCGACATAAGCTCCATCTGTCACATAGACTTCTTCGCAGTACGAAACTGCCATGGTCTCATTAACGAACTTTGTGGCACGTTGTCTCAAATCTTCTGCCCGACTGATCATGAAATACTTTCGAGCGCATTTGTGTGCTACTCGTTCAATTTTTTCACGTAAATCTGTATTGCACCAATCACGTAAATTAATTAGTTGCGACTTAATATCGTAGTGTAAAGCCAAGTTTAAGTGCAGTTCCAATAGAGCAATGAAAGTCATCTTTTTCAGACTTGCTATACCTTTGATTAAGCCCTGAGAGTCTTTGTATGGTAATATAATTGGATGGTTTTGTTGTAAGTATACATTTTCATAGAAATCTTTAATGGCCCATGCATCATCTCGGTCTCGTTTTCGAATATTAACGATGTTGCGATTTTGTATCGATATATCATACCTCTCCAGCTCAACCTCCTCTCCACTATTGCTTACGCGATGTATCCAATCGAACTCATCACGCCATTCTTTCTCTGCTATTAAATAGAAGAAATTTTGCAATACAATAAGACGTATCCAATGACCCTCGATAAATGCAATATCCAAATTAATCATCTGCAATTGCCGTTCCAACCAACGTAATTCACGCTTAACGATGTCGGTTTGTTCATAATAGCTTTGTACCTTTGCGGATGTGATTATCACCAATTAAATTTTCAATAAAGTATTTATATTGAGTTTGCTAACACTTACCTGATAAACAATAGAAGTGGTTCTCTCATACTGTTGTTGTTCCCACTTTTCAAAAAGTCTTTCATATAGTGCTGTGATTTTCTTCATTTTGTCAAAGAATTTATCATTTAATCGATTTATTACATCCCATCTCACTATAAACTCATTAATAACCATGGATTGTATTTTGAGTCGCAGACCATCTTTTATAATTGAACCTAGGCTTTTAAATCGAAAATGTGTAAACACTGAACTTTTTTTCAGATCTTTTACAAAGTTTTCATCAATATCTGTTGCTACAAGCGGCAGATATTGTTTATTTCCGAAGCCAACTAACGTCTCGCGTATATTAATGTTTGGCACCTCTAAACGCAATCGTATACTATTTCTCAGGCGTGTATTAAATGTGTGAAAATTTTCCTTTGGAACAACCATTTCAAGTTGGGAGTGCTTTTGTCCAGAAAACGGCACAACTCTGAATGGATTGGCTTCTTCGACTTCACGGTTTATTGGTTTAAAATGGAATAGAGATTGTTTCTTCTCATCAAATGGCACGTTTGCTTTGCGGATATAGTCTAAGGGTACTTTAGTGTCTCCATGTATTATTATAAAAGTACCACTATCATCAGTAAAATTTGTACATTCTGAACTTTCTAATGAGGAAAGGCATGTGTCGACACTCTTTAAATCCTCCTCCAATTCTGCATATATTGCCTTTCTCTTTTCTTCTTCTCGTGGATCTATTTTCGTTTCAACAGTTTTTTGTTTTTTTAATTCCCCAGCGAGTTCATTCAGAAATTCGATATATTTTCTCCTACCACCATATCTATCACTTTTCAGTTCTCGTGCAGTACGTGTATGGTAAACTTCATCCTCTTGTGGTTTTCGACCTAATTCTAGTAATCTTGCTTCTGCTTCCAGTTTTTTCAACCTTCTGTGCTCTGCAAGCATTGCCTCTGTATCTATGAAAGGACGTGTTGCATCCCAATCGTGCTCTATTTTACATTCCGTTTCAGCGTTACGTCCATCCTCTTCACTAATATCATTTTTTTCATCGTGGCTTACTGGATCTTCAATTTCAGTCACATCATGTTGGTGGTGAACAATAACGCGTTTTGTATGAGTAGGTTCCCAATGATCGTGATGATGACGGGCGTGTGCTAGTTTTGCGTACTGAGTGTTTTTTAGCCTGACATTTTGATATTTCATTTTATCATTTCCAATTTTTCTCATGTGAGGAATACCAGTCTCTTTGACTCTTAATGTAAAGAGTTCCGGTGGAACATCTTCCTTAACATATTCACGTGGTTTACGTGGATGTCGGCGGGTGGTTGTTTGTCGGTGCTTTGGTGCAGGCATTTGAACTCTGTTTATAAAGGAATGAGAAGCAGTAGGTCTTTCCTTTAGTTCCTCAGCTTCATCTTCTGTTTCTGGTACCCAATCTGACGAAGATGAATCGGTTCTTTCACAAAAAGGTGGTACTGGTTCTGACTCCTTGATATGAGTTGATGTTCCTAACAAACTGATAATTCTTTTCTTTGCCTCTTGTTCGTCTTGTTTCTTTTTAAGTGCTTTCTCTTGCATGTATTGTATAGTGGTTTGAATTTCCTCTTTAATTTCTTCCTGTTTCACATTTTTAATTTTTGCATTCTTACCATATAGGAATCCGATCAAGTTAAATGTCTTCTTTCTGCGTTTAAGGTGTGGTTTAATAATTTTTAGTTGTTTGTATAGCGTACGTTCATACTGGTCTCCCAGTTTTTTTTCGCGGTATCTCTTTATGGGACTATGCTTTGCTTTAGGTGGTTTATATGCAAAGAATGAAGAGAAAAGCTCCTGCTTTGGATCATCGGGATTTGTCGGTTCTGTACGCAGTTTTTTCACATCAACTTTAACAGATTGCGGTTTTGTAGTTATTTCTTGAAGCCATTGTTCACGTGTTATACATCCCTTAACAGTATGAGCACCTTTCAACTTATCTATTTGGTGTGTTTTGCCACGTACATTTTCTCCCATTTTATAATGAAAGCCTCTAACTTTAAACACATCTATTTCTCTACCAACTGTAATAGCATCTTCATCATGTGACGAGTCTTCTGTTATAACGGTATCTATGTCAATACTATCACCAGTTAAACTACTGATTTCTAAGTCTGCTTCAGGATAATTTTTCACAACACCAAATTTTTGTGAATAGAAATCCTTTCTCATTTGTGCTTCATTGCGCTTTTCGCGAGCAAGAACTTTGAACTTCTTATTTAGTTTTCTTGCCTGGACCAAAGTGTGCGGGTATTTCTGTGGTATGTGGTCAGGTGGGATTATCTTTACAGGCTGTTTGATATTTAGACTATATTCAAAGTCTTTCTTTATTGCCGCTGTAGTATTTGCTAAGTTTCGTTTCGAAATCATTCTAGCCTTATCGCGTAAAGCTTGTTTTTCATTTTCAATGCTAGCAATCCGCTCATTTTCCATACGTTTCATACGATCTTTGTACAATTTTTCATTTCGTTCCCATCGGCGTGCGTCTTCTTCATCAATACGCTCCTTATTTAGTTCTTTAGCTTCTGTACGGAGTAATTTTAAATATTTTTTTGGTTCTGGAACAATTTCCGGTTCAGGAGAAGGTTCCCTGTTTTTGACATCATAGAAAGGAGGAATGGATAGGCAGCTCTCCATTATTTCGTTTTCAACTTTAATCACAGTTTCCTTGGCAACACGTTTTTGTTCCATATGGCGAGAAATTTTTAAAAAGGTTCGTTGATACTGTATATCCTGTTCATCACCTTCAAAAGTTTCTCTATAATTTACTCCTTGAAAGTCTAGGTTTAATGGATTAACCAAATCCATAACTTTGCATACTTTAGTTTCAGCTAATTTACTTTCTTCAGGTTCAATCGTTAACTTTGCTTTTTTAACCATATCAGTTAAATAGTTAACCTCTTTTTCCTTTGTGTAAGATTTCAAAGATAAAACATCAGGATTAGCCAAGCAAAGGTTTTTTCGAGGATCTTGTGTTAAGAAAAACTTTTGCTTAGCTAAAGATAATTTACCCATTTTCTCGATATTTTTAGGACATTTGCCGATAACAGTTCTTGGTGCACCTGCCACGTAACTTTCTTTTGGTGGTTTCGCCCACTCTAGTCCGCGAAACTGTTCTGGTTTTTCCGAGTGTTCATGGAAAGAATCATTAAGTTCAAGTGATGTACTGAATTTTGATTCTGGTACTTCATCTTTAAGTTTCTCCAGTGCTGACTGTGTTGCTACATTTTTAGTGCAAGTACCATATTCACGTTGGGATGTGATACCCCAGCCCTTATAATGCAAGTTTGTTGCCTCAGAACCTGTTTTGCGCTGGGTACTGCTTGTACTGGATTTCCAAATGCGTTTATTTGCCGCTGTCTTTTCATGTAATAGCGGCACGTGGACTGTGGGCTTTTTTTCGAACTCTTTAGGTAGTTTTAAGAGTTGTACAGAAACACTGCTATCAGAAGTTTCCTTTTGTTTGTATTTCCTAAATTTCGTTTTTCCTTTGTCACTCATAGACTTGCTCTGCGAACCGGTCATTGAAGTCTCAGCATTAATTAAATATTTACGCTCCATATTGGTATATATTTACTATACAATTAAAGTTACTAGTAAGATAAAAATAAATTTATTGAATTTATAAGAAAATCTATAGCATGTCAATTTTTGTATTAATTTAAAAGAAGTTATTGTTAACTGAGACTAAAAATATTCAAATAATAACAGGAAAATAAACGGAAGTTTTACGAAAGAAAATATAGAAGTTAATTTTAATAGATCATAATTGTGTAACCGGTTCCCTTTAGTAACTTCTAAAAAAGTCTAATACTAAGAGGGGTTAACACCAAAAAATATTAATAAGAAGACTATTCGTATTTGCTTAAGTTTTGTTGATGTTTTTTTAAACAGTTTTAAGCATTGGAGAAAACCGAAATAGCTTATGCTGCGGTATTAGCGTTAAGACTTATTTTTTAAACACCGTCACAAATGGTTGTCGTTTTAGCTTAGTACACAATACACTAAGCCATGATACTGTATAGTGACTAAATCTCTTAACGTATTATGCCATGCCTAGGCGTCAATCAACGCCCCATTGGAATCCTTAGTATTTACGCTGGTACCAAATGAATAAATGCGTGTTAGACATAATTTCTATCTTGGTACGATGTGGGCCTCGCTATAATCCTCTGCTCCACGCCGAATGTGAACCAAAAGTGAACAAGCTTCCCGAGTAAATTTAAGTAGTAACCACAGCCACTATGAGTCCGACCTCAACTAGTCAGCACAGCCGAAGCTGCGGGCCGGTCGTGTGTCGCAACTGCAGACCTCACTTACTACCATGCACACTTCTAACACAATTGTCGGCGTGGCACCGGGATTTTAGTCGCCTTTTACGACAGGCATGCCGTACTTTGGGAATATTCTAACCCCTTCATCGCAGAGGGGAACTGTAGAGTGACAATAATGGGTTTTACAATGTTAAAAACAAGAGACTACTGAAATTCCAAATGTGAAACTCTCAGGAGTAGAAGTAAAGGGGTACTACGCCAAAATGGGAGAAAGGTGAGAGAAAATTTTAGATAACTAAAAACATGATCTCTGTGATCCACAAAAAATGTTAGGAAATGAAATAACAATTACTGATAACAAAGTATTAGAAAAGAGCTACGTAAGACAGAAGACAAAGCAAAAAATATAATTCTAACAACTAATATCTATCATGATAAGCTGTACTAACATGTAATTATTATGCAAAGGATTACTTGTATTAGTTTGATAATCGGTTTTGTTTAAGCGTGCGTCAAAGATCGACACTAGTAAAAAAATTGCTTTCCATCAAAACAACGCCAGGTCACACACATCAATATCGGCACTGGTAACTCATCAAAAGCTCCGTTAACTTGGTTGGGAAGTTCTTATGCACCCATGTTATAGACGAGATTAGACACCAAGTGATCACAACTGTTCTTGTTCATGACGAATAATGGGCGATCAATTTCATACAAAAAAAAATAGATTTCATTTTACGGTATTATAACAAAATATAAGAAATGAGGACAGGGAAGAAGTAACAGAAGTGACATTAGATCTAACTAATAAATAGGGCGAAAAAGAAATTGAAGTTGAAAAAAAGGTTAATGAGACTAATCAGAGATCTACCAGAAGTGTTGAACGAGCTGTAGTTCAATGTATTTGTAATGAAGCAATGGAATTAAGTGAATTAAATGAAAATCAAAAATTATAGAAAGTCTTTAAGAAAAACAAG